CCTGCAGGGCGTTGGCCTGGGGGGCGTTGTGGCCGGTGCCGTTGCGGCACTCCAGCTGCCCCACGCCCTGCCCCAGCGCCAGCACGCAGGGGAACAGGGCGCTGAGGCCCTGGCCGATGAAGAAGGTGCGCACGAAGGGCTGCGGCAGCCGGTACATGAAGGGCAGGAAGGTGACGTTGGATGTGCAGCACAGCAGGGCCAGGGTCAGGGCCAGCGCCAGGTAGGGCAGGCTGCGGGGCTGCCCTGCCACCAGCACCGTGCGCTCCCAGAACAGGGCCAGGAAGACGGCGGCGATCAGGCCCAGTCCCTGGACGCCGTGGATGACCCAGCGCTCCTCCAGCCTGCCCGGGGCCAGCTTGTGCACCAGGGCCAAGGCCAGGGGGCCCACATTGCCCAGGGCGATGAGGACAGAGAGGTAGGCGGGCAGGTTCCAGCCTGCGGGGAGGGGAAAGAGGGTGAGACACAGAGAGAAGCCTCCCTGGACCCCCCCCTTCCCAGTATGGCAGGTCGCCCAACCCCACAGCACTGGCTGGGCCCTGGGGCCAGGACCGAGGGTCTCCCAGGCTTTGGAGCAGTCTCCAGCTCCCTCTATCCTATCGCAAGGGTGGAGGGGGCCGAGCTTCCTGGCTGCAGGGCCTGGGCCCTGCCGCGTGCCTCTGCATCCCCTCCCTGCCGTGATCCGAGACGACAGCTGCAGACAGCCTGGCCCGGCCCCTTGCTCTGGGCTCTTTGCCCTCCTTGGACGGCATCAGAGGGATTAGGTCTCCCCCTCCAACAGCACAGGGCTGCCCAGAGGAAGGCCAGGCTAAGGTGGCGACCCCCAGCTGGCCCAAGGAGGGGAGATGCAGAAGGACCCAGCTCTCCCCGCGAGCCCCACGTGCCCGGGCCGGGTTGGCCGGCCCCGGCGAGGAGGGGCGCGGGGGAATTCCAGCCAGGAGCAGGCCCGCTCCAGGCGCTGAGTCATGCAGGCTCAAGCACACGCAGAAGGAAACGTGACCTGCTCTCCGGGCACCGGCGCTCGGAACAGCCTGTGCCCGCCACAGCAGGCGCCGCACGGGGCAGACGGGAGAGGACAACTGCCGCGGGGAGCCAGACGGGGCCTGGACGCCTCCCCGGGAGCCCCAGGACCCGCGCAGCACGAGCAGGCAGGCAGCCCTCCGCAGCTCACGGGCCAGCTCCTGTTCCCAGCCGGGTCTGAGGGGAGACGGGGTGGATTCCAGCTCCTCCCGGCTGCCTGGAGCAGGCGCTCAGCACACAAGGAGGGGAAGCAACCTTCCCCGAGCCTCCAGCCAGCCATGCTTGGGCCAAGGGGCCAAGGCAGGGAGCAAACGAGGAGAGCAGCCAAGAGAGCAGGGGCGAGGGGGGGGCGTCTCCGCAGGCGGTTCGCAGCCGGGGCCCCACCCGAGGCCCGACTGCCT